AACCAATTCCTAAAGAGGAAAAAATGCAAAGTTCAGATAAAAATTACTACTTGATGAGATTACTTTTTTGTTCTGCAACTTAGTATTATAAAATGCTGTAAAACGTATCATTGCTGCTCTTAAAAATTTAAAAGACAAGAATGTGTCCAGCTTCTCCAAGTAACTCAGATATAATATCCACTTACTTTCAGCACCCAACTTTTCCAACAAACTCTTGTTATTTGCTGTTGGGTTATAACAAAAAAATTGTTTGCCCTTTTTCCACTATTCTTCTTAAAATCAGTACTGAGTGTGGAATTTATCATTTCTACTTCAGAAGTTTAAAGTCAGATTTTAAAATCTGAACTAGCCACCACAGTTTCTTCACAGTCCAGAAAGAGACAGGTAGGCCCTGACTAGTGATTCAGCTCACCTTGAGACAGCTGGGAAACACTAGCCTCAAAAGATGCCTATCTCTCTGTACAGACTATACAGAGAAACTTTCTAAGACTGGATGCCTGAAGCTAGATGATCCCAAAGAACACAGAAATCTTATTGCTTATGTTAACATCAGGATTCACAAAGTCACAAAAATTTTTCAAAGCCTGGTTCATTTTTCTGATACATTCAGATGTACAAGAAGAACAAAAAAAAAACCCAGTCAGATTCAGTCTTGCACACAGGAAGAAAACTTTCTACTAAAGTGAACTAAAAAAATTGCTGGGGTTGTTTTTCCCTTTTGATTGCTTTTTACACGTGATGCAACATCTAAGCACTACAGTAGCTTGTAAAATCTGCATGTCAGTCCCCAAATTTAAAACGAAAACTATTAACATCATTTGTCCTTAAAAAAAGAAATACAAAAAGACAAAGTATTTTGTTTTAGTCAATTCCTCGATTTATTTTTCAGGCACTTCTACAATTGATTAAGGTACCAGCAAGCTTTTTTATTGTATTACTCTGTTCTCAAGCTCTTTAGTATTTAAATTGTATCTGGAACCAATAGAGCCAGCTTGAGAAACGTTTTAGGAAAGTACAATGAAGTAAACCAACCTGGGAGAGTTTTTCATTTGCAGCCTTCATCTCCATGTATTTAGCTTGATTTTCCTGTGACATGTCTTTTATTATGTCATCTGCTACAACCTTTTCACGTTCGATATCTTCTTCTACACCTTGAATTAACTTTTCTGTGCTGTAAAAATAGAACAGTTTTGCAACTTTTACTAGTTGATGTTTATTTTAAGCACCCATTTCAAACTCTGGTATTCCCTCAGCCTCACTAAAAGGACCCTTAACAGAAAAACTCCACAGACTAAAAAAAGGAGTTACCTACTTGTATCTAATCTCCTTGGAGTTGGATTAGCTATATAAACATTCACACCATGGAATGCAGAAGATGAAGAATTCTTTGCCCTTACAGTACCCACATAGTACGTTCCAACTCTCCCACCCTGTCTACCTGCATAGTCCCCAACACTGGCAAAAGTATACTACTCCCTCTCAGTTGCTCTCAATCAGTGAATGCCTGGAATAAGAACAGGCAGTTTGAAATAAAGAAGCTGGTATGTGATTTGTGAATACACATAAAAAAAGCATACCAGGACTTGACAGTACTGGATAATGATGATAAGACAACTTTCTTTTAGCAATTAATTGTTGGATTCCTCAAGAATGAAGTGACTTCAGAGTCTTAGGCAGTGTGGAGGTTCTTAACCATGCAAGAAGTAAGAAATTAGCCATTCCTGACATTCTTGATTCATTACTTTAATCTCCTTAGGAAATCAATGGGCTGCAACCCTAAAAACTTCTCTACCATTGCAGCTATAGTGAGCTACAAGCAAATGTTTTGGCAGATTCAAGGAAGGCATGAAGAGTTGTTCTCACTGTTTCATGCAATGTCTAGTAATTTCTATGAAATGACTGAAAGCTAGAGTGTCGATTTGAGAACATAGCTAAAGACAAAGGAAATCAACAAAAACTCCTGAGATCCTGAAGGGTATAACTTCCTTCCTTTCACAGTTCATGAAAGATTGTTTAACCTCTCTGCTTGTTTCCAGAGTGACTTCTACTATTAAGAATGACAAAATCAGCTGCATACCTTCCTTCAGGATTTATTTTTCTTCTATTTTTCATTAACTCTTCCTGAGTTGCAAGATGCCAAAAATTTTAAATTGTGTAACTGACATTATCAGATCAATGATTGCAGCCAAGAATGCTCTCAGGCTTAAAAGACAATGCAAAATACTGGAACTGCGCAAGGATTATATCAGGGAAAGCAAATAATGAAAACTTCATAGAAGCAGAGTACAGCTGATGTTAGAATGCACTTCCGAAGGTCATCTAGTCCAGCCCCACTACGGAAAGCACAGTCATCAAGAGCAGGTTGTCAGTGTCTTGTTCAGGCAGGTTTTGAGTGTCTTGAAGGATGGAGACCCCACAACCTGTCTGAGCAATGTTTCGATGTTTGGCCACTCTTAGAGTAAAAAAAGTTTTTTCTTACATTTAAATGGAATTTCCTGTTCTCCAATTTGCGGCCATTTTCTCTTGTCCTGCCCTTGGGCATCACTGAGAAGAGACCAGCTCCATTTTCTTTACTCCTGCCCATCAGGTATTTACTTTGATAAGATACCCACTAAGCTTTCTCTTTCAGAGATTAAACAATTCGAGCTCCCTCAGCCTTTCCTCATAGCTTTCACCACTTTGGAGGAATTCTCAAAAGCACTTCAAAAGTGTAACCAGTCTTCCAACTGGCTTCAAGAAAAATCTATAATCTCCAGGAATCTGAAGATGCTAAGTAGAAATTCTGTCAGGTTAACAACCCATGCTGCAAAGAGGCTTTGCAGCCTGATGATGAAGAAACAAATCAAATTGATGATCTCCCACCTTCTGTGGCAAATTTGCAGTGCACTGGGACTGCCCAAGAAATACTAGATGGTTGTAACATGACATTAAATGGAACACCCTCTTGAGAATAGAAATGGTTTGTTCAGACCCAGTCCAAAGAATGAGGCCCTGACTGTAAGTACACCAGTTTATGAATGGATAATCATGTTACGCTTGGTAGCAGAAATGAGTAATTTTTTAAGTGAAGCACGTTCTTAAGCTATGAGAGTAGATTGACTGAAGACCCTCTGGAAGGCACAGAACTGGGAGTTGGCAGGGAGCTTTCATGTTACTTCTTTACTGGAGGCTCCTCAATCCTCAATCTGGGCCTATGAAAGAAGTTGCAAGGTCTCAGCAGTGAGTTTCTCTCAAATCAAGCCCAACTGAAGACATGAGAGAATAAAAACAGAGAAATTGCAATGAAGAATTCAAGAAAATGTTAAGGTTGCCGATTTCCAGAATAAATATTCATGCTAGATGTAATTCACCTGGAGAGACTGTCAGTACTGATCATAGGGAGCTTGTCTTTAAGTACAAACAGGGTGCCTTTTCCTGGAGTTCACTGGGGCATTTAGGGAGGGAGGGAGAACACCAGTCGCTACATTTCTCCCATGCTGCAAAACACCATGTGGAAGCAGCAGTCTCCAATCTACCGGATTTTTCTCATCTATGCCTGAGACTGCAAGTGTGCATTGCAGAGTAAGGAAAGTAAGCCTACTTTTCCAGCCCCAGCAATATAAAGCATGTGTGGACACATTACAAAGCAACCTCTTTACCTGAGGCAAGCCTATTTTTCTTATGTGATACAGACTCCTGGTTAAATACTTCAAGGTGATCCAGTATGTCCTTGAGACCAGAAATGTCTGACTTAGCTGTGATGAATCTTCTCTGGTAGAAAGAAGGTTAAAACTGAGTGTTTTTCTAAGAGGCAAAAAAAATATCAGCAATGGCCGTCACAGGAAGATAATTCATTACCACAAGTAATTTGAAGACTACTGATGAAGCTGAATCAGGTATGAGGCTTGGAAAAGTTGCAGAATGTTCTGCGATATTAAGCAAAAAATCAAAGTGGCAATAACATTAAAGAGATAGTGAAGTAACATGGTTTCTACAGCCACATATTTGAGAGGAATGGTGAATGAAAGGAGACTGAACTGTTCCGTAGTTTGATGCTGTGCACTGGACAGAATGAGGCTTAGTGAATGAGCACCAATGCAAGAAAAAATTTATTGGATATAGTGTTTGTGTATCGGTATTGTGCTGGTTTCGGCTGGGACAGAGTTAATTTTCTTCCTATGTAGCAGGCACAGTGCTGTGTTTTGGATTTAGTAGGAGAAGAATGTTGATAACACGCTGATATTTTAGTTGTTGCTGAGTACTGCTTATGCTAGTCAAGGACTTTTCAGCTTCCCATGCTCTGCCAGGTGCACAAGAAACTGGGAGGGGGCACAGCCAGAACAGTTGATCCAAACTGACCAAAGGGCTATTCCATACCACAGGATGTCATGCTCAGTATAGAAAGTGTGGGGGGTTGGCCAGGGGGAGCGATTGCTGCTCGGGAACTGTCTGGGTATCGGTCGGCAGGTGGTGAGCAATTGTGCATCACTTGCTTTGTATATTATTATTACTATTATTATTATTATCATTGTTATATTGTTATTATTATCATTACTATTTTACTTTATTTCAGTTATTAAACAGTTCTCATCTGAACCCAGGAGTGTTTCTCACTCTTATTCCTCCGATTCTCTCCCCCATCCCATCAGGGCAGGGGGAGTGAGCGAGTGGCTGCTGGGGCAGGGGGAATGAGCGAGCAGCTGCGTGGTGCTTAGTTGCTGGCTGGGGCTAAACCACGACAGGTATAATCCTTTTTTCAACCTGCACATAGATATGCTCTCAAATCAGAGAAAGTATCATTTGTTTTTAGAATTTCTTTCTGAAATATAGCCCATATACAGATTTCCTTAAGTGCTTGTAATTCTTTGTAAATAATAAGCTTTACATATCACACCCTGCAGCTCCTCTGATGATGTTTCCAAAACACAACAATTTAACACAGATTTAACTAACCACTAGAGATCTTTACTTTAGTATGCAAATATCTTGAAATTTTCTTTATTTGATGACTGATCACATAAAAAATGCAAGTCTTTTTCTGTCTTCAGCATTCCTTTAATTCATTATAACCCAACTTGCTTGTAAATTCCCAGTGGCATTTTAACTCAGTGCTTCCTATGTGAGCTGGAACTTGACACTTGAGCATACTACTATCAGACTTCGCTATTGGCTGCAGATCCAATTAAATCCAAGATGATTATAGAAGTTGCTCAACCTAGTCAATCTTTTGCTAAGGATTTTCTAGGTTTATTATTTTTTTACACTGCCTGCTTATTCATCAGGTACAAAGGTTGAACAAAAACAAAGTGCTGTTGCACCATATTATTTCTTGTCAGTGCACTGAAAAATCTACACATGTGTACATATGCCTCTAAGAAGCAACAGAAAGGTAAGACACTTGACACATCTTTTTCAAAATGTAGGCAAAGATTTATTAGTGTAACTGTTGCTTGACTGGAAACAAATGCATCTTGAGATACATTAAAAGTTCAGGAATTACTACAAAACTTGGACATGCCAAGTTGTTAAGTAAATTGTACTTCAGTAGAAAGCCAGGGAGCAGTCTGTTTCTTCTCTGAAAAGCAGACTACATGATTATATAAACTCTATTACCTCCCCAAATCTGCCTTTTTCTTTACAAATGCAAGAAAAACAATAGGAATTACATTACTATTAAACAATCAAATAAACAATAAATTAAACAATAAAATTTTCTGAGGAAAATTTTTTAAGAAAACACTTCTAATTACAAGGAAATGTCAAGGTATTACCAATGTATTGCCAGGCTCAGTTTCTTTCCAAAGCAACTAGTTTAAACAGCAGTTCTTAAAGTCTGGTTCTAGTAAAAAGCTAAACTGCAATTAAAATTATAGAGGCTTTCCTATTCTTCTACTGATTATACACATTCCCACACACACAATGCAGGAAATCTAATTTGTGAGAAAACCCCTAAATTTTCAGTAGAAACTAAAGTAAAAAATAGGAACTATGTTTTTGACTTAGACATATGTAGAGTGAATTTTTAGACAGGAAAAGGATTTTTCAACTTAATGGCATCCCTTCATTCAGACATATTAACTTTTTGCTTGAAGTTTTGAAAAACTTTAAAATTAACTTCCATTTTCAACTTGATTGTTATTGATTAACTTACAGACTATCTTTCAAAATAATATTTTATTTTTCCCACTCTAT